ACATCTGTCCCCTAAAAGGGCACCATCGAAATTCATGGTTGCCTGCTTCATTCTTCTGACCGGGTCACCAGTTTGTGGGGGTAACTTGCTCATTGTCGTAGACGATAACCTCAGTGTCTGTCGTTGTCAAGGTTGGAAATCGTTCTGTGGCTCATGTCCCAAGCCAGCAGTGTTCAAGTTAACAGCGTGCATTTAGTGTACTACCCATCCCTGTTATCATCTTACTATAAAATCTAGCAAGCTGCTACAGTAGTAATAGCGTACCGTGAGGCTGCACTAGATATTGTCACGAGTGGCTAGGTGACGAAACAGAGAATAACTGAGTAAACTTAAACATTTAATGGGGCGAACTTATGCTGAAAACAAAAAGGTAACAGAAGATAACAACAAAGCATCGCGGGCATCGAAGTCGGCGTAACAGCAGGATCGAACGCTGGGGCGAGACTGACTGCAGATCGCCACGCAGAGCCCCTTATGCACACGCGCTGGCTTCTGGAACAATCGACCTAGAAGGTTCGGCGAATGGAAAATTCGTACCTCGAACAAGCAACAGAGTTCTCAAATGTACCAGAACATTAAACTGAAAGAATAAATAAAACATGCATCGCTCCCGGGAATCGAACCCTGGCTCTTTGCGTGGGAGGCAAGCACAATAACCATGAGGCCACGGCCGCACTGCCTACCTGGCCAGCTGCGCGCGTGGCAGTATGAAGATATGGCATGTGGAATGGAGTTTTAAATGCAGTTCATGTAGTGCAAAGGAACAAAACACACGGGCGGGCGAAAATGAACGACGACGTTGAGAGGATGACACACCAGGCGAAGGCGGTACCTCAATCTGAGCCCTGAGCCTCGGTTCCTCGGAGGCGGCAGCTTCTACTTTGACTGGGCTACCTCCCTGGAGCCTGATGCTTCGACCCTAGCGGACCCCAGTGAGCAACAGCGCCATCAAGCACCTGGGGCTCCTTCATGCACCAATCAGACGGCGTGCCAGATCCCCACGGCTCGCTGCTGACCCGCCCAACCACCCTCCACGAAATCTGGACTTCTGCGAATCGGACTGTCACCCTCCCCAATACCAACAATCCATGTCGTCGTCATCATGCATGTATACACTCATCACATTATCATGTTCACTAGACGCAGCACCGCGGACCTCCATGGTACAAGCTGCTGTCTTTCTGCGGTGACGCAGCTCTCCAGAGCCAAAAAATAAAGACTAAAGACTACATACAAACAATATGCAAAAGGACCCAACTGATGAGACATAAAGTAATTAACTCCCTGAAAACCAGCAACGAAAAAAATTCACCAAAATGGTTGCAACTAGCCTTGGAATCCAGCACAAAACATGTAAATGCAAATGACACAAGAAAAGCCAAATCGCACATCACACTCACACAACCACTCCTAAAGAAGACTTAACACAAGCAGAAAGAACAAAAACCAAAGGCAACCAGCACAAAAGAACCACACTTCTTAAGTTACCTACTAAGACATCTAAACTGCATAACCGAATTATACGGAGACCAATTTTTATATAATGGGACACAGCTTCACCAAAGACAGCATGGCCAGCACATCATTCTAAACACAGGTAAGTAAGTCGTGTAAAGGGAAAAAATATATACAAACAATACATAGAACTAAGTGATCTGACACAAAGTAATAAACTTCCTTAACCATGGAAACCAGTAACAAAAATATAAATTCACCAAAATGGTTGTGACCAGTCTTAAGGCCTAAAACAAAAAAAAAAAAAACATACACACAACACAAAAAAGGCCAAACCATGCAGCACACTGACACCACTCGTAGAGAAAACCACTACACAAGCAGGCGGGGGAAAAAACAAAACAAAAAACACCAGCAAACAAGGGGAAACAAAAATCTGTTGTTTAGCCCCAAAAATACCAAGACAGTTCTTAGAATTAATCCAAAATGGCATAACGGGGCACAACCTCGCAAAAGTCCGCACAGCGGTAAAGGTCAAGTGGATAAAAGTTTGCCACATGATCTGGCAATACTGCCACGATGTCGTCGCATTCCTTCACAATGCAGGAACATCTGTGCTCGCTACAATGCAATGTGGTAAGACGCTGGCACAGGAGGATTAGCAGCGAACCACCGACAAGAAGTTTTTCAATCTTCAAGAATTGGGGAATGTCGTGCTCCACCTCATGAACAAACACATCGCCAAGGCGATAGCGAGAACTGTGGAGACTCGCAGACTTCACGGAGGAGAGCACCACCTCTGCTGTCACTTCGGCGATGGCAGCCTGTTGGTCTCCTGGCAGCTCTACCACCTCCACTGGCTTGGCTCGAGTTGTCTCGAGAGGTGAGTCAAGGAGGTTCCCTGAAAGCTCGTAGGCCTGGAGGAGCTGGTGGCGTGTCGCAAGAGTGAGGCAGATGTTTCTGAAGTTCTTAACTTTAGAGGCAATGCTCTTGAAGTACGAGTGCTTCGCCTCAAACCGCATACCCCAGAAGCGGCGAGGTGGCCCAAACTTCAGGATGTACTTTGGATAGTGCAGCAGGTAATGAAGCTTGGGCGTAACCGCTGCATTCGGATACTGTCTGGTGTACAGCTCCAAGAACTCCTGCACCTTCACTAGAAGATAAGGAATGCAGTCCTTCGGAATCCTTTCGGCCAGGATGATGTCAACAACGTGACGATAAGCCAGGTACACCTTCCAGTGGGGGTTGCCTTCGGGGATGGAGTTTCCATACAACTGTGGAAGCAGTCGAAAGAGGCAGCACTTCTGACTAGCTGTTCCTCTGAGGCTTGCCTTACCGGTGAGGAATGTGTCCCTGACTGCCACAGGTGCCGACTTCTTATCATGGAACCCATATCCAAAAGCTGTAACTCTCTCAAGGTCCTGCTTCCGGAGCACTCTGTCTTGAATAAGGCCACCCAGGACTTGTCGAAGGACGCAACCGACACCACCCTCGAGTATGTCGTGCATGGCGTCGGGTGGCAGCTGGTCGGTGACCTCAAAGTCGTTCAAACTTTGAAGAGGGGACACATTGGAAATGCCGTACAGGGGCCCATTTACTGAGGGATCGAGCGCAAAGGCATCGAGGTGGCTCTTGTGCATTGCGCTCGTCCTTTCGATGCAGCCTTCTACAGTATGCAGTTGCTTTAGGTCCTCATGCCGAGCTAAGCAGAATCGGGAGATCCGGCCCTTGCTGAAGGAGCACTGCAGTCCTGCTATGCGGTGCATAGACAAGTTGTCCCCGGTGAAAGCCACTGTTACTACACTAAAGTGCATGTTCTTGGCATCAATGCCATGTGCTTGAATGATGTTCAAGTCTTGCAGCAGGGGAGCCAGCACTTTATCCAGGCCGTGATGCACAGCGACCGGGTACTCCACAAGTAGCAACAGGTGGATGGCATTCAGTTTCGACCGGTGCCGAGGGTGAAGATTGAGTATAGAAAAATACACTGCTAAAATCTTGTGTCGTCCAGCAGCACTGCCGAGGGGGTTCGTGATTTCCAGCTCATCGGTGTACAGAAGGAGGAATATAGTGTTATGGCTGGCATCTTGTGCAACTTGAAGGTGTTGATGAACAAAGTCACCATCGGTAAAGTCGGAAAGTACATCTGACGACGTCGAAAGAGGCTGCATAAGACATTCCAGCATGTCTTCCGACTGTAGGAAACTTATCAAAAGCTTTTGCACCGGAATGTCGCAGACTGAGTCGTTACTGCTCGCATCAAGCGGCACCTCGGTGACTTCAGTATGCGGAAAATTTTCCGCAACATACTTTTTTCTTAGGTGGATGGTGCCCAGCCCTGAGAACATTACTTCAACCATCTCCGCCGCATTTAGACGTGATCGCAGTTTCTCCATGACGGATGATGCGACTTTTTCCTCCCCAAGAAGCTTCATTGTTTGCTGGGTGTGATCTTGAAGGATTTGGTGCATGAGTGATCTCACTACAGCAAATATTTCGTCCGCTGTACTGAAGACAAGCTTCAACTTCTCGGTGATCCGAAGATAGAACAGTACAAGCTGCTCCCGGATGCCACTAATCGCACCGCCTCTTGACGGGTCCTCACTGTCAGCGTTTCTTTCATTCGGTGCGGGAGACGAGGAACGTTCTTCGCTTCCGTCAGCGCAATCGGTTCCCGTAGCACGTCCATTTGGAGTCGGAATTATCCCCGCTACTGCTCCGTCCGCACGGTAAACGTGCTGCCTGTAGGCAAAGTAACGGCGGAACGATGCCGCACAGCTTCCGATCCCGCATATCACGCGAAAGTCCGACTCACAGCTGTGGACGCTCATGTGATTCACCACTCGTCTGACGGACGTCCCTTTAAAAGCACATCTCGGGCAGTAAACAGCAGGCATCGTAAAAAAAAAAAAAAAAAAAAAAAACGAACAAAAGTCACGCAAAAAGATACAACAGCAGAGCAGTCATGGCAGTCACAAATCGTCGCGTCACAGCGTTACAGGTGAGTCGCGCCACTGAGCAGCACTAACCGAGTTGATCCAGCCGGCGAGGCACATCACTGAGCCGACTGAGCAGCGATTTGAAGAATCGAATCGTTGATAAAGAAGAAAAAAAAAGAACAAAAGTCACGCAAGATACAACAGCAGAGCAATCATGGCAGGCATGGCAGTCGCAAATTGTCGCGTCACAGCGTTACAGGTGGGCCGCGCCACTGAGCGACTGAGCACTAACCGAGTTGATCCAGCCGCCGAGGCACACCACTGAGCCGACTGAGCAACGATTCGAAGTATCGAAGGAGAGCAATGTTGGTATGTAATTATTTAGCAATTACAAATTGTATCTCTAAAACTTAAAAAAATAACGCAAGGACATCAAATGCAGATACATATACAATTTATTTATCCGGCACCGAGCCAAATGAGCCACTGTTATCCACTGGCTTGAGGAGCCGACTTGAGCTACTGGGCCGCGTCTTTCTCTTGCTTTTCTTGCACATGTTTGTCAGTTTTTGTTTTACTCTCGAGTTTCTATCCCCGCTGCCGTTTGTTCTACGAACGAAATGTTAAGGTGTGTTGGTTTCTACGAGAAGTTCTGTCGGCCTTTATCCATTCCGCTGGACTACACGCTGGAGACCACCAAGGATGCATTTTTGCTGAAGTTTCCAGAAGTGAAAACAATGGACAGGATACTGATCCAGGTATGTCAAATATTGCCAGTATCTATGCGTTTCTTTTTGCTTCCAATTACAGTCACAAACGGTGTGAGAACGGCAGGGTGGGATCTTCAGGGTTTCAGTTGTCCCGCCTCGAGCGCGAATTTCCTACGATAACGCTCCGGCGTCTCTGCCTCACGCATGCACGCCCAGCCAAAGCACGCCAGAAGGCGGCGAGCGCGCGCTGGAGACCGGGCATTCGAAAGAGACGCTCTGCCGTTCTCACCTTGTCGCTAAGCATACCTGTCTGCACTAGTAATGGCAATCCATTTTCTATCGCTTGTCGGACGCATTTTACGATGTAAATAATTCAAACCGTAAGAAAAAAAAAAAAAAAAAAAAAAAAACCAGGAACGTGCACAGATTGCAGGCATCAGTAACTTCTGAAGTTTTCCCTTTAGGTCCAGCAGTGGCAACTCTACATTCAACCGTGCTCAACTTGCGCGTGGAAAGACGCATTCCCAAAGAGGCCAGAAAGTCCGCATTAAAGTTTTTTTTTTCTTTCCTATATTAAAAACAAAACAAAACAAACGCATTTGGATTGAACGATGGCGCTCGACAACGCGCATGCGCCCAGGGTCATTGGGTGAACTCAGTTGTGTAACTTCGCTACATTATGATTTTCGTCGGCCACCCTGCGTGCTTGCAAATGACAGTATTTTCAAATTGTATGAGGCTGTTATTTGCATTGTCATGTTTTAAAACAATTACTCGTTTTCTTTATAACACATTACCATTTTTATTCCTGTGGGCATAAAAACATATTTAAATCCTCACCTGCCTAAGTTGGAAGTGCCTTTGCACGCACTATGCATTTGCAATTGATTTAACCAGTCGCCGGCAAAAACATTTTTATGGCTTTCACTATGTTTTACCCTTTAACCGATTTTAGTTATGGGAAACTACTGACCTTCAACTGCTTAATTGTTCTCTTCAAAATTACATTTGTTGCCTTTAAAATCAAATTTATAGCAAAAAAAAAATTGGAGCAACATTAAAAGAAAATTAAGCTGCCATTTCTCGGCAGAGCCTCAAATTAAAGCATGAGCGAGCCTGATTTGTTTAAAGCGGTTGAGTGCAAGAACCGGGGAAATCAGACAAGTTATTCGCAACTCCAGCCCACCACTCGCCCTCTCGCGGACGAACAAAGAACCAGAGGTGCAGGGAAGGTGGCGGAGACGGCGGCAGGGTTTGTCGCTCTTGGCGCTGCTGTTCTGGTCAGCATGTTCGTGCATCATGCAGTTTTCACAAAAAACAAACAAATGTGTTATAATAGGAATTGTTATGGTCCACTACGCAACAGTGTTGTGCATAGTGATTGGGATATGTCATTACTTAGGAACTTTTTGTAGATTGCATATGCTATGGATTTCGGGTCGTGCGGTCGCCAGCACAATCTGTGCTCAGCGTGACGGCGAAGAGCTCCCCTTAGTATAGCACAAAAAGCTCTTACGTGTGATCTACAAAGAGTTTATTCTTTCCAGAAAGTAGGAAAGAACTGCTTGTTTAACGGTGTATCGAGCAATAGACATCGGGGATGGGTTCCAATTTTATGCGCTGAAAGGCCGTGACAAGAAACATGGCATTGGCTCCAAGCACTTTCAAACGGTAGACTATGCATATCTGCTTTCAGTTAGCTACGAAGGCAAATGAAGAAATGCTTGTAGCATTTTTTAGCATTTCTGTGTGCCGACCATGAGGTGTGCATAGAATGGGCAGTTTTGACGATGCCTGTCTTGAGGATGTGAATAACACAATACTTGAATGTTTCTTTTGGCAGAGCAATAAATAAACAAAGTGTCTAGCGTTACGTCCGACGTAACCCCAAAGTACGTCCAAATCTCCGCCTTCCTTAGTTTATTGAGGGAGAGAAAGAGAGGAGGGTGGGGGGAGGGTTAGGTTTGCATGTTTCAGTGCTCCGTCCAGACGTAATACCAGCCACAGTGATAAAAAAAGGCCTAAACATGCCAATGGCATTGTTATGCCGTTCTTGCATTGCATTACCGCAGGCTACCGTAAGTACGGCAATGACCCTGGCGTGCGTTGAAAGTCATGCATAAGAGGTGCAGCACAAACTTCTCGTAGCAATGCCTCACTGCACGGTAGCCTGTGGCCACACTATGCTAAAGCTGCTTATTAGTAACCACGGTGCAAGTTGATCATGTGTTGCAATGCACTAAAGCCGTGATGATGTGCAGTGAGCTGTAAGCCTCTGACACAAGAGGCATTAATACTGTGAACGCTGCTCTACCGGAGCTCGATGGTCACTATGTGTGACTCGCATTTTAGGGCACTGGTGACCAGGCACAGCGCAAACACCACAGTACTTTCACCCACCCACAAAGCTATTTTGCCACACATAATGTTGTGACCGGTGCTCAAAACACGCACGGCTTCCACAAAGCATTACAAGATCTGTGATGTTTCTGCAGCTTCTAAAAAGCAAGTTGCTGGTTTTCCTAATCTATGCCAACATGTCCGTCACTTGTGATGCATTCATGCTTGACCATTTGGCATTTCCAGCCAAATAAATTATTTTGAGTACACTGATCAACGTCAGTGAGCAGGTGCATGGAAAATCTGTTCCCATCTCTTCTGCCATCTTGGAACTACAGCCCCACGTTCTATGGGGCATTGGAGTTGCGAATACTCGTCTTGAACGGTTTGGGAATGGCTCCACGTCGAGGAGCTAGGCTTGTCCAAAACTGTCAAAAGTGTTAAAGCATAGTGCTGGCAATATGTGGCTTTTGTCCCAAGCTTGTAGCTGACAGACGACATGTGCTGGCAGTGCCACCGGCAGCCATTACAAAATATTGGGCATGGCTTTGAATGTTGTATGTTGTTCAGTGTTTATGGAAAGCTCCCCAACTGAAGTGATCTGTGCTTGACATCAAATATTTTGTGCTGCATTGTCAAGTCCAGTATAGTTTCTGCAGTGGCTTAAAGATCTTAAAGTTACCGGTGCAAACACATTGGCTTCCTTCACTGTCTCTTTCACACAGGACAGCATGCAGATGTGACACAAAAGGAAACTGCATGCTCTCACAGCAATGTGAGGCAGCAGCACTGGAAGCTATGCTAGCCTTGACAATGTTGACAATGGGCTCCTTCAGTTTACCTGCACTAACCTGCACCGGTGCAGGGAAATGCAGGGCAATGTACTTATGGCTGTGTTTTGAAATAGGCTGTTTCCGAATCGAACGTGCTTGTGCTAAACTTGCACAGGTAAATATATTGCAGCAATCGACTGAGCCTACTGGTCAATGCTTGGTCCCAATGTCTCCACCAACAGTCTGGCTTTGGGCAAAGCGGTGAACGACTAGGCACGAGATACATAATTGTTATCTGGTATTAACTCTCTTGCTGTTTTTGCGTGACTTTTTTTACATTACATTGCTCAACGGTTTGAGGTAGGAACATGAGGGGATGCGGTAGGACATTGGGGCTGGTAAAGTGTCAAACGTGCTTCAAAGCATTCTGTTGTAGTTTTAGAAAGCAAGGTTGATTGAAACACCTGATTTCAAGCAATGTTTGCTGTATGTGTGGGATCCTCATACGTACCTTTGTTACACAAACTGTTTCAACTGCCGTTGGGGCAATGGCAGGTATCCACGCTATTTGGGATTTGACTGAATCGAATAGACCCTTTGAAAAAATCCTGCAATGAATAATGGGAATCCTCGGTACGCCCCTCTCATCGTCTTTACTCCCGCTACCACGTGACATAGGCAAGCAGGCGCAGGTTGCCAAGGCAACAACGATCGAGCAGCCGATTTGGTCGAGTGCTTGGAGATAGGGGAAAGGGTATCGCGTTAGCTAGCTTGCGAGGCTGCTCCTTTCTCGTCCCCCTAGGGCAATGGAGTTAGTGCTTGAAGCAACAGGGAGGAGGTGAGCAATTGGAGGCCGGCTTTATAATGGCAGCATGGAAGGACTAACAATACTGGACATAAATATTTACCTCATATAGTTGAACCTCGATTTAATGAAACCGGATTTTGCGAATTTCCCGATTGAACAAACAAATTCAGATTTCCCGCGCAGCCTGTGTGCGGAAAAATGCCTTTCTTGATTTTACGAAGTTCCCAATTTAACAAAATAATTAGCGGGTCCCAGTGATTTCATTAAATCGAGGTTCAGCTGTATTACGAAACTTGCATCCTTCGGCTCTAGTGAAAATTCGTCTTCTTCTGCATGACAAGATTGCTTGGCCGCTCGAGCGGTTTTTCAATCAACCTTGCTTCCTACAGCAGTAGCGGAACGCTTCCACGCTCATTTGATGCTTCACCAGCCCAACCGCCCGACTGCATTCCTAGTTCAAGCTGGTGCATCCTAAAAAGTGCAAAAAGGGCTTGCAAACAAACACCAACTGGAAAATGGTGACATGCTTATGCCCTCTTATTCATTGATTTGCCCAGTGCCAGCTGAGAAATCGGTCTTGAGCACGTCGTCGCCAATGGAAGATTCTGTTAAACGCTGTCTAAAGATACGTCGGACGTACCCCAATCCCAGAGTCTAAAGATATGTCTGATGTACCCGGAATTGGAGTCTAAAGATAGTTGGACGTATCGGGATCCCAGAGTCTAAAGATACGTCGGATGTAGTCGGTAAATGGTCACTGGACCGTCGAACGCATCCGCTCTACGCTTGGGAGTCGCGCTTTCTCGTACTTGCATTTACGGCTAGGATAAAAAAAGGTTCAGTCAACTCAAGCTTGTTACAAATCAGTTGATTCCAATCCCGTTCGAGTAGCCGCAAGCCGTAATCATCATCGCCCACAACAAAAAGTGTTAAGATCACAAAGAGGGTGCATGTGCTTTGCACATGTGACCAATACTCCCACTGATCCCTATGACAATTGCTGGATTGCGCTTCCCGCTCCCGCGAGTGAGGCCTATCTTGCTTGCAGACAATTTGCGGTTTTGCTAGCGTTGCACAGGCTGCCGGCAGCGTGCTGAAGACACATTTTCTACTCGTTCATCGTCCTTCACCGAAGAAGTTTTTTTAAGTCCCTGTGTAAGCACTGAGACTTGCCGTTGAAGACACGGGGAAATTTTACGAAAGCGCAGTGCTGCAGGAAAAAAGCTGAACTTGTAGAAAGCAAGTTTCACTGCGTCTCTGCGTTCACACGCTTGGATACCGATCAAAAATAGGTGCCTTGGCAAAGTTTTGAAAAAGTGTTGTGTGTCTTTGCATCATATATCGGCCACGGAGTTCTGAATCGTCCACCTGTTCCGGCAATTTCTTATCAATAAAGGGGGGAAAGCAATCTGTACGGTTGCTCTTATTCACTATTAACCATGGATATGTTCTAAATCTACTCTAATTGATCACATGGCAGCACAAATAGAGCAACGCTGCAGAGGTCTTCGAAGGCAAAAGTACAAGACGGCGAGATTGAAAATTTGATGTGTGGCCCATATGGTCATGTGCAATCGGTTGACCAATCACAATTAGGCGAGCTGCGCTGAAATTTGATGTCACGTGCGATGGTTGATAATGAGCCAGACCACTGGTAAGTGATGAGGAGCTGTGTGCGCGGTACTCTGTAAACCGTCTAACAACTTAAAAAAAGCCGTACCTTCTCCCCCTCTCTTCCGTCGCCACTGGACGCTGGATCAAGCTCTTTTCTGGGCTGCGAGTGCCGCAAGTTACAAATACAGTCGTCAGAGTAAGGTATATAAAACGCTGCTTCATTGGCACATGAGGCTTCACGCACATTGCACTCGCAAAACACATCCACACGGCGTTGAATCTTCATCGGTATTCAAGCATGCGAAGGCACAGAGATGCAGCACTTCTGCATGCCAAGGAAGCTATGATGATGCCGCAAGACCAGCGAAACTTGCTTTCAACGATTTTTTCCTTTTTTCTGCGGCACAGTGCTTTCATAAAAATTTCCATTTGTTCTCAACGGCAAGTCTCAACGCTTATGGCGCGTTCACACTGGAAGCGGATCCTCAAACGCGAAGCGGATTCGCGCATTCTCAACTGCAAAGCGGCTAGGATCGAGCGGTTGGAGCGAATTTTTGCCAACCGCTTCGGGACAGATTTCTCTTAACCACTTTCACGAACCGCAAAGCTGCAACCAATCACAACACAACGCTGACTTTCGTCAGTGCCTTTCGAAACAAGATGGCAGCTGTCGCTAATGAGGTGTTCAAGGCGCTGTAGTCCTAGCGTTACAGCAGACAAATCAACGGAGGAACTTAATGTTCATTTCCGTCACTTGAATCTGCTGCGAAAAGAATTGACTCGTAATTTTAACGGGCTTCGCACCGGTGATTTGGTTCGGGTAAGAGTTTGTTTATTATTCCTGGTGCCACAGCCTGGAGCTCGCTGCCTTGTTTAGTCTTTGTCCGTATGACGTCGGAACCCGCCACTGATCGACCGAAACGTCAGCTTTTCTACCCACCACAGCAGCGTGAACTATTGAAAGCTTTCGACACCGTGCGTGACCAAAACGAAGGCAGATAGAGACGTCGTGAGCCTGATTACGTAGCCAACGCACTACCGCGGAGCGGGGAGGGTACCTGCGCTAGCTTGACCTGTAACGTTTACTACTAACAAAAGAAAATAAAGGAAACATACTCAAGGAATAAAGTGTACGTACCAGACGATGCAGAGGTAATCCATATGGCGTTTATTTGAGCTTAATGTCAAACAAACAGTAGACTCCACCGACGTGCGAGTGACGAGAGGAGTCTGCCACTAATGAAGCCACGACCGGCTAGCACCGAACACGTTCCCCCGCACCACGGTTCGCTCCACCGCTCACAACGTCGAAAATGATATGAGCAAACAAGGGGGGAAAACTGGCCCTCTGTCCGGGAAAACAATGTCAGCTATTCATGCGGGAAGGGTTCACTTCGAAAAAAAAGAGTGCGCGAGGCATCCTGTCTTGAGTCAGCAAGGCGCGCCTAGCTGGGCTTTGCTTGTGGGCAACGTCGAGGGAATCACAGGCGAGTTTGGCGGGTCCATGCCTCTTTTTTTTGCTGCCTAACCTCGAGATGCGTGAAATGTTTCGGAGAAAAATCTTCAGAGTGCCAGAATGGCAAAATTTTGGCTTTGGATTGTCGATTAAAGTGGATTTTGGATTGTAAAAGAGGGTTGCCAAACGCGAGTCTCAAAAGATCACGCGTGATCGCCGAGAAACCGCCAACCGCCTCTTGGCGTGTCTGAACGGGGTCGCTCGCGAACTGCAACCACTTTGCGAACGCGGATCCGCTTCCAGTGTGAATGCGCCATTACACAGGGTTTTAAAATACTTTCTCAGCAAATGACGACGAAGGAGTGGAAAACGTGTCTTCAGCATGCTGCCGCCACCCTCTGCAACGCTAGCATAACTGAAATTTGCCTATGAGCAAGATGACCGGTAGCTTCACTTGCGCTGCAGCAACCAAGCGGGGAAGCGTGATCCAGCAATTGTCATAGAGATCAGTGAATACTCTCATGGGAAATTATTATTCTATATGTAGCAGACCTACAATAGGGTAGTTTAGTCTGGTATGCATGGCTTGCACGTGACGCCAAAGCAGTCCTCCTCGCTGGTGGTAGAATGCACTGGAAGCTGAGGTGACTCGTTTCCAGTTTGTAGTGCTCGCTCTTTGTCGGTTTTTTACGTCAGCAGATGCATGTAAAGGAACGTTGCATCATACAAGCGCAAAGATTGTTAGGCAGGAGTCATGAACCGCTGTTTTTTTTTTTCACACACTGCATGCTTTCCACGTCTTTATGAAACGAAACTTCGGCCGCCAGTGAAGGAAACAGCACACGACGGCTCGTGTTTTGTCACTTTTGCACTCTCTCTTGAACATTGCTCTCCAAACTCGACACTTGAGTTGGTTGAGTCCGTTGAGGGGTCGGCGACGCATCTGGCATGCTCCCCCGAACACATTCTTGGTGCTCCAAACACATTCTTTTCAGAAAACATCTGTTGCCCTTGGTTTTTGTTTAAAATTCAAGCTACTTGGTGCCTCTGCAGGTCCTTGATGCAGACCTTGGAGAGTTTCTGGATTGGGATGAGGAGACAAGACTGGTGGCAGGCTCAAAAATCAAAGCCTCCCAGCTGACACCTCATGAACAAACCCCACCTCCTGTGGCCAGTACACCAGAAGTGTAAGATTGAATGGTCATAGCTTTTACAAATGTTTTAAGGTATTGCAGAAGTGCAATCTGCCAAGATGCTGTCTAAAGTTTATGCTGCTGGTGGTTTTATAGGTGTATCGGTTTTATGTTTTTCTGCCCATTTTCAGGCCTGAACCGCCACCGGTGGTGCAGGAGAGTTCGAGCTCTATGCTTGATCCAAGGAACTATGTTTTTCCCCCGACGCCTAAAGATATACTACACAACTTGTCGAAAGTGCAGACGAAGTCTGGGGTGTCTGCGAAACTCCGGCATCGCATCACAGAATGGATGTGTTTTGATTTGTTTCGATACACACTGTGAGTATGCCTCTGGTTCTGCAATGTGACACGTAGTGCTGTTCATACTATTCTGTAAATTAGGGCATTCCCTGCTGTACTTGTCCCCTTGTACCATTTTTGTTGAAATTATCTGGAACATCAGAAGGAAAAACAAAACTACATAATGCAATGACTGTAAAGGCATCAAACTTGTTTTGGCCTGTAAGTGATGAATAGCTGTGTATAAGTTTGGCTGTCATAAACCTCTCTCACACTTTATTGTAAAGGACATGCACACTGTTTCTTATGATCGATTCTTGGTAATTCAAGGTCTATATATTCAAATTTTTTATTAATTCAAGGTATAAGTGTGTCCTGGCAATTTTATATACGTTAAACCTGAATGAAATGAAATGAGGGAGTGTGTCGCTTTCGATACGTGCTATGCCACCTGGATACCCCTAGATACTGACAAAACTGCGAAGGTGTACATCCTGCTCAAAGTTGTTTGACTCGTGAAACATCGGCTAAATTCTTTCTGCGAAAACTATAGGTCACACGAGAAAAAGTTGGTGTCATATTGGTTTCTGTCACAGGGCTTATGCAGGAAAAGTAATAGCATTTGTGATAAATATTTTATTAATTATTTACAAATGATTACCTGTTTACCTATGATCTGTTAAAAGTTGGTGAACATTGTCGAAAATAACTAAATTTAATAACTAAATAACCTTAGATATAGAAGTCACATGCAGGATGTATTGGCATTCTGAAAAAGCACCTAATATGGTCGTACTTTTAGGTTTGTTTTTTTATCAGAACTGCATCTTTGCACCAGTGGTCTTACTGCCCGTCGCTAAAGTGTGTAATAAAATGCATCGTCACATATTCTTCATGTGACGGAGGGCATTCTTACAATGCCCTCCGTCACAATTCAAATGGCATTCTTACAATGCCATTTGAATTGCAGAGTTCTATTTCACCGGCGTGTGTCACACTTCATTCTCTTTTAAGAGGGAGACAAGCTGGTATTGCACGCTTTAGCCACATGTACCAGGAGTGCTGGCGTGGAAATGCATTTTGATGGGAAGCCAAAAATTTATGATGCATCCAAATAGTGCCTTTTCAGGATGTCATGAAATGCTGTCCATGCTTTATATTATTGTGAAGTAGGTTGATTTAGTAATTTTCAATGGCGTCCATGAAGTTTCTAATTGAAACAATACTTAAAAATTACTCTTTTAAAATTCAATTACTCAAAAGTAGTGAATAAACTACTTATGCGTAACATTATTTATTTGCCTGAACAGGCTCTTGTTAAAGACAAATAAGACGTCAACTTGTTTTTGTCTGATGCATGCTTTTCGCAGGAGTAATTTGGCTGGCACTCTGAAACTCCCTATTCAAACAACCTGGCCACGACACAAATGCAAGTACAGTGCGCCCCAAACTTAACGCCGCCACTCGAACGGCCGACTTTTGCAGAGCCGTGCTATCCTAGCGGCAGCCGTTTCAACTAGTCTGTCACGTGAAGGCCATTCCTAATCTACGGACCGGGGGAAGGGGAGGTAGTACGGCCGCCGCTAGGGTGCCTGACTCTGCGAATCACAAACTCATATCGTCAGACTCGCGTTTTGTTTCGCGTTTTGTTTACACCTTTAAGATTGACAACAAAGAAATTTTGATAATGCATCGTTGAGGAGAAAGCTTGAAGGCGCTGCTAAAATGCAGACAAAGTGTAAAAAAAAAAAAAGTGATTTTGACGATATGAGTTTGTAAATAGCAGAGTCAGGTGCCCTGAGCGCAGGCTCTGCTACCTCCCCTTCTCCCTGTCCGGAGATTGGGAATGGCCTTCACATGACCGACTAGTTGAAATGGCTACCGCTAGGATAGCGCGGCTCTGCAAAAGTCGGCCGTTCGAGTGGCGGCGTTAAGTTTGGGGCGCACTGTACATTAGCACTATTTTGCCTTTTTTTTTTCTATCTAGTTGTGATGGGACTTCCCTCTTGCAAAGAACCACAGCATTGGAACTGGTGGTACACTACATAGAATCCACGTGACTCAGAGTAACATTTCAACGAAGTTAGCATGTCATTAGCTTTTTAAATTTAGTTGGCAATGGCGCAGTAGAGAAATGCAAGACAAATGCTTACCGTAAAATACCGGGCAAGCGCCCACTCAAAATTTAGAGATAATCGCGAAAAAATGGGGGATGGGCGCTTTTCCAGTCATCAATTTTACATATCAATGTACTGTGCATATGTTCTCAGACCTTACAAATTCAGGTATGGGCGCTTAGTGTGGTATGGGCGGATGCACGGTATTCTACGGTACTTTGCTTTCGTTAAGATGCATTGCACATTCAAAATGCTTTGTGCGGGCTGGCCTGGCATTGATATACCTGACAACACAATCCCATTAGGGTATGCATTTAATTTGTTGACACTTTTATGTCTTGTGATTTAATTTGCAGGTATCCTGCCAAGCTGTACGAGCACGCTGCCAGACAGCTTGTCTTGCGCCACACCATCCTGCAAGACTCAATTGGAAATGGCCATGTATGTTGCAGTTCAACAACACTTCTAGTTCCATTTATATATGGACTAAAAAAATTGTATTTTTTACGAAAAGCATGAAGCCATAAATGGCAAACAAACTTTCACCAAGCAATTTTCTCGAAATAGGACTCTACCATTTACTAGATGTAACTGTGTGGAGAGGCAGGTCATTTCATGCTCGGGAGCTTTTGTTTGAGCCAGCACTATGATACATGAGCCTATTGCATAAACATATAGCAACGGTCATGCTTAGAATAATTCTCTCAACACTTTTAGCAACTTGTAATCATTGCTACCATTAGTGCACTTGCCATGTCTCGCCAATATATAACGATGAACCCAGGTAAAGTCTTGTGGGTAACAAAGCCGCAATATTAAGGAAAAAAAATAACCTAGTGCGTGGTGAAAGTGATGGAGTAAAACAATAGAAATGTAGGCTAGTTGGTTGTACTATCGGGTTCAAATAAAATATGAACAGCGGAGCGCGTGGTCGTCAGTACATGCTGCGCCTCCTCGAGGCCTCCTGAAACTGATTAAACTGGGTTGGAGAGTAGGGCACTGCAACTGTGCGTCCTACTCCGATGTATTTGACCCTCACCCAACGCAACCCAAGCTTCTACGCTGCGCCGGTAATGCGCTGGAAGTTCCGTTCCAGCCACTTCTGTTGGCTTGGCGTGAGCCATGCGAGGCCGCTCGCAACAGGAGCAGGCTGCTTGCGTGCGTGCACTCGTGGAGCGTTTTTGCAACACATGCTCCCTCCTAACTTGTGATTTTTTTTTTTTCTGTTCTTAATACACATTGTTATGATGGTTGAAGCCGAGTGCGAGCGGAAGCAAGCTTTGGACCTGGTATCCTTGCTGATGGATGGCCGCTGTTGCAGACGCTGAAGGTGGCTTCACAAAATATTAACTGGCTTCTCACTAAGACCAGCTTAGGGAAATGTATAACGACGAAAGCAAGCCGGCCCAGACAGCTACTGCTGTGGTGCTGCTTGAGGTGTCAGCCTTTGCCGGTTGCAGCATTCGTGTTACCTTGTTCATTATTTCTGGTTGCACAAATGCTCTCTGGCAATAAACATGTCATTTCCTGTCCACGCTGTTTCGCTATTTTGCAAAAGTCGTGTGCTCATGTGCTCTAGGTACTTCATGAGGACGTCTGCTTTTGTTCTGATAACTGACGTCAATCAAGCTCCACAGGTCTTTTGTGCACGAACGAAGTGCTTTAACTTCCATTTCACACCTCTGGCACACAGCCAATGAAGGTGGCTGTGACGAAACTTTCGACGCACCACCGACGCAGCGTCAAAGCTTGGGTTGTGGTGGGCAAGGGTCAAACACAGCAGAGTAGGACACACATCCTTGCTGTGCTCTACTCTCCAACCCGCAGTTTTATCAGTTTCAAGAGGCCTCCAGGAGGTGCAGCATGTACTGACGGCCATGTGCTCTGCTGTTCACATTTCGTTTGAACCCGATAGTACGTAGTTTCTATGTATTAACAGGGCAAAAAAAAATGCAAGGGACCAAGAGTGACATATACACAAACATCCACTGTGTCTGTGTATATCTCGTTCCTGGACTTGTATATATTCTAGAGAACAGTGATTGCAAAAAGGGGTTAGAATCAAAAAGTGGCAGTCACGTCTTGCAATGTTTCACTTGGCTGCCAAAGTTTCACTGGCTCTGTTAGCAGAAGGCAACAGTGTGTGTGCTTTCTCTATACACAGCCAACTCATTGGCACCCAGGTAGCAGAGTGGGGCCCATTGGGCAAAGTGTGTTGGGGCAGTCCCTACAATACCCCCTGTGTCCCATGTTGGTGTGACATAAACGTCCCCAGTTTGGGCTGCCCATGCAATACCCCCTGTAAGTCGTTGCATAGATGTTGATAAAGTGAGGACATGCCCATTTGGGCTGCCCAAACATAACTCCGTGGGTCCCTTCTCGTCTACACAAGGGCATGCCCAACTTGGGCTTCCCGTGCAATACCCCCGTCGTTACCACATCAGCTTTGTGGGGCAGAGTGACGATGTGGGCATGTTCAGCTTGGGCTGCCTACACAACGTCTCTATGGGTCCCACCTCAACTTTCAAGGGCAAGGCTAGGATAGAGGTGGGCTCCAGGGGGGCAACGTGTGGGCTGCCCCACCATAACTTGGGCTGCCCGTGCAGTGTCCCTATGGGTCCCACAACTATGTGGGGGCAGAGTTAGCATGGAGATGTGCTCCAAAAGGGCAAAGCATGGGCATGTTCAACTTGGGCTGCTCATGCAATTCCCAAAATAACACTTGAGTGGATATTTTTGAAATTTAACATAGGAGATCAGTTCAATTTGATGCCAATTCACCGAGAAATGTAATTTAATGTGTGCAAGAGAAATATCTGGTTTACTACAAACTCGCTACCCAGTGTGTATGTAGCAAGGACTCGCAGGAAAAGTGTGATGAAGGCTTAATTTCGGATGTGCTGCATTACCGCAGATCGTAGGGAATAATGATATGATAGATCCTACATTGTCTAGAGAATGAGATGACGCAGAATAGGCTGAGGTTGAGCCTCGTGTGGGCTGTCCGTGTAGTCCCACTGTGGCCCCTCCTGGATCACACAGGAGGGGGGGGGGGGCATGCCCACCTAGGCCTCCTGTGGGTCTGCTAAATGCTGCCCATGGGCCCTATGCTACACGGCGGGACAAAGCAGAACCAAAAGACCGAGTTCTGAATGGTTTTAATTGGAACCAATTGGTTTTAGTGGGTTCCAATTGGAAGCACACTGGCCAATGGGTCTCGCCAGTTGGAAAAAATTTTCCAGTTGGAAACTTAATGGGTTTCAAATGGTTCCCATTGGTTCCCATTACAGTGACCGATTGGTTGTCCGAAAACCTAACTGGTACCAATTAGAAATTTCAATTGGAATCTAATGAGAATTTTCGACTGGGTGACCAATCGTAGCCGATGACGTCTCAGTTCCTTGGTCCCACCGTGTAGCATAGGGCCCCTGGTGGGCTGCCCAAGTGGGCCCCATGTGGGCCCCCCCTTACATAGCCCACCTTCTGCTACAAAGGTGTGGTAATTTGTGTAAAACTGGGAATTCTACAGCAGGGCGATCCTTCAGTACTTGGTCTAGCTTTCGCAGTGAGATGTGCCACACCGCCACTTGAATTAGATTGTTGCTCAATCTCTGCAAGTGTTACTGTTCCTTCTCTACACTAGCTCTCAATCAATGAATGTGCATGTCAATGCCATTCTACTTTGCAAACAAAAGTATATACAGTTTTGCCAGGCACACCTCAAGCCATGTTTTAAGCCCTCACTATTATATTAATATGGATTATTACCAAGATTTCTCCAACAGCTGTGTAACAAAGGGATTGGCTCCGGCATAAATCTGAAGTAACTTACGCTCAGGTTCTCTTCGTTTGGTTTCCTTCTGCCTCTAAAGGTGGGTTTTCTGGAGGCACCCTTACCGTATTTACTCACATAATAAATGCACCCCCCAAAACGAGCACCAATATTTGGCCTTTTTTTTCCCCTCGCTTAATGAACGCACTTCCAATTTTCGGCTCCGAGAGTCTCGAATTGCGTCCAATTTAGCTAGCTACCAAGTCAATTTTCTTTTGCCACCAAGCGGTCAGAACAAGTCAAACCAAGCCCAGCCGCTCTCGTAATGGCTGCATGCGGCCGCAAGTGCGTAGTTGCGGAAGTGATGAACCGTGAAACCGAGCGGCGCGCACATTTGACGAAGCTTGGGTCGAGGAATCTCCCAGCCCCGGACATTCTTCGCCTATCAAATGCATTGATGTCAACAAACACGCTGTCGTCTCTGATCTGCTTTCGGCCACTGAGTGAAAGTGGTTAGGCCTAAGAACGGTCGCTTTGCTCTCCGTGCTGAGTGAGTTTTAGGGTGCATTTTCTTCCACAAATGGCACACCATAAGCACCTTAAAAAAAGTTTGTAATTTATAAAGCATGATTACTCTGGCGCACCCATGACCATGCAGCCATGGGCGCGCCTCCGTCAGTGGAGACGTGCCACAGTTCCCTGCCATGTCATATTGGCACCTAAAACGACATTGCGCAGTGTGTAAATGTAAAAATTTCACCCCTCGTAACGAATTCCAAATACGTATGGGTCAGTTTTTTGGGAAAAAAAGTGTGTTCATTATGCGAGTAAATACGGTATTGTCTGCAACAATGTAAATTTGTGTAGGGAAAATTATTGAAGTGATGTCCAAAAGTCTATTAAGAAAATCTTCACCGTACAATGTTTTCTTAAAAAAACCACACAAATTTTTTTTAAACAATCTGTCACGAGCACGCATATAAAAAAAACATTAATTTTATATGAAAAAAAAAACAATTTAGAGCAATAGTGATGGCATAAGGCGCAATCTAATCGGTAGTCACCTCCTCCCCCTTGTTTTATTTCTTGGCATTTCGGTTACATGGAGGGGAGGTGGATTGGCTTGGCCATCACGTTAAGGTGGAGAGAGTGCATGACCATATTGTTGAGGCGGAAAGAGCGTATGACCATTCTGTGATGTCATGGACTTTGCGCACAAAATTTAAAATAAATCTAGCGCCGTCAATATTGCTGTAACAAATTTTTTTTACGTAAAATTCAGTTTTTGACACGCGTGTCTCCAGCAGTCTGCTTAAAAAAAATCATAGTTTTTCTTTTCAGTAATTCTTTAAAGCTTCAAAATCATTTTTAATCTGTTAAAATATGCAGGATTCCTGGCAGCGTGCATTGCGCTTTAAGTGCAAGTTCGAGCGATCCAAGTTTGTAAACGACGGCGAGATCGCATCTACCCGAAAGAAGTTTGGGAGGCACGCAGCCAAGCAAGACGCTGCGAATGGGTTGGAGTCGGCGAAGAGAGTCTGCCGCCAGGTCAATTAACATTTTTTTTCCTTCTTTCTGAGTACCGCAAGGTAGTTGAAGGGCCTGAGGAAGATGGGTGTGTCCCTCTCAAGATGAATTTTCAGGGAGGAACATTTCTATGGTCCTTTGACCCTTCTGACTAGAGGCCAATGCAAAGAACTATATTTAACTATAGTCAGTTACTGGTTACGAAAAGGTTTTGAGGGAAAGGAGTGCAGGGGAGGAGGAAGCAGATGGAATGCTGGAGAGGAGAGGAGGAAACCTCCCCTCTTCAGCATTTTGTCTGCTTCCTCCTCCCCAGCCAAAAAATTTTTCTTAACCTGTCACTGACTATAGAAGCATGCATATGAATGTGCTTGATCCGTGTTCATATCTCCACTGGCTTTCCAGGCATGGAAGACATTTTGCTCTGCTCTAGTTTTTCAAACATGACTTGCTCAATTATGCTGCTGGTGTCATGTTTGGCAGTTGAACTGCTTATTTTAGTGGGTTCAATAGAGATAATGAAACCTGGCTTTTCAGCCTATAGACCTTTTCTGTGTACTCTCGTCCCCACGCACCTAATAGGCGTATCCGGTATGGGCGACGAAAAAATACTAAAACGTTTCAACCTGCAAATAGTAAGAAAATAAAGGGGAGGCAAAACGAGAAAATGTGACGGTTACGCTTATATCCTAAATGCTTTCTATTGGCGTGGCAAAGGCAAAACAATGCTTTCGCCCATACTGGAAGTGACGTCAATTCAAGATGGCGGCGCACTTGCAGAAAAGGTCTAATGAATAAACAATACATTGTAAAATATTGAAACTTTGTGAAAATGTGACGCCAGCATTGATGATAAAATTCGAAGTTTGAGGACGAGACGTTTCCTGGATGAAAAAAGAAAAAAGAAAAACTAAATTTCTATGTGTACCGATGTCCACCCAAGTCTAAATTTGTGAAAACAGAAACTAACAATGTGGTTTGCGTATAGTATTTATTCCAGTGAAACAAATTTATCAAGGAGAGATAATATTCTTTTCTCTCTCGCTTACAAGTTTGTTGTGATTTTCTAAAAACACTTGCATTTTATCATCACCCCTAGTGTCGCATTTTTCGTTTAAACGTTCTGTGATGCAGAGTTTATTGATACAGGCCAAAAGGGTGTGTTGCATTTTCTCGATTGAACCTGGTAGTTAATTCTTTACATCTAATTCAAAATATGCTATATTTGCCATGTAGTCAACCTTTTCAAGCAAAGAGGCTGCTCAAACCTGTCATTTAGTTATTTGCAGAAGCATCTCCTAAGCCTTCCTCAAGGACATACGAGAGAACAAAATGTCTAATTGGAATGTGCTTTAATTTCTTGCTCAACCAGCCTGAAAAGCTAGTCGACTCTACGGAGGATGACTACAGCATCGAAGGCCATATAAAGTCTATGCAAAGAGAGATGAGGAAAGAGAGCCCAGACACAGGCAAGCTCTTGGATGGGATGACCCGAACGTTTGCTGCCCGTCGGCATTGGATTGCAAAGGAGCGCCCCTCCGCCCAGGAGATCCTCCAGCGCTTTCCAGCTCTCGAGAGAGCAGAAGAAGTAAGTGTTAATGTCGCATTCACTATGCCTTCCATCAGTTTCATTACAATCCCCTATATGTATTTCAGATCTTCCTAGAATTCCAAAGATTCGGGGGCAAGTCACCTGTCCAAACCATCACTGCGGTGGCCCAACAGGAAATGGACACAGCGCTGGACATGGCTTCGAAGAAGGTGGACAAGATCACGTACGAGATCTTGGAGAGGGCTGACACGTGTAGTGAGGAGGATCGGCAGTGTGAGAGAACTTTCATATCTATAAAAGAAAACAAAGCTTATGTCATTCCACAGCTTTCCCTAATTTGTTCTTTGCTACTTCGTTTCCATTGCAGTGGTGACCACCCTGGCCATGCTAGTCACTCTTCCACGTGCTGTGAGGGAGAAGTCCTCTTCATTTCTCCAGAACACGGTAATTCAAACCCGTGGTGGTGCTCTCATAACTACCTTATTTTTCTGTCCTAATGGAATCACAGAGCCGCATGGTACAACTTTAAGTTTTATCGATTTGTGTGGTGCCTGGGTTATTGGTAATCCATCAGACATACCATGCACATGTCTAGAATTTTGGATTGCACGACGCTCAAAACACAAATCCTGCATCTTACAACAACTCCAGCCATCCTTTTTTTTTTTGCTTTAGCGTTGCATTTTTGTTAAGAACAAGCCTTTCTCAAAAATGAAACTGCGCACTGCATCGCATTGCACTGTGGCTGCGTCAGAACAACAGGCTATTGTCGCTGACATTGGTGGTCTCAAAATGGTCCTGCTCCCGATAGGCCCCTATCACAGGTGATGCTTTAATATAGGCAAAAAAGCAGGAAAACAACACTAGCAAGGATGGTATTTAGTGTTTTTCTAGCTTTGTTTTGCAGAAAAACACCTTTGTTGCGCATTATATAAAAATAAATGAAGTTGACTAGCGCTCGAGCAACTTAAAGTCGTTGCAGCAAAATAAACACACCAAACCTATCGTCTACTTTTTGTTTCCGCTCTCTGTCGCTCTCTTTCTCGTTCTGTATCTCGGGACCACCGAGGTCGGTGCTCACGATTTATGGCCACCTCAGCTCTCATTGTTCCGCCTCTTTCGCCCTATACACCTTCCAATCGCGCGTTTCATCGCTTTCCCTTGACATACGCGTCCCGCATTGCTGTCATACTTCGCGGCTTTCTTTCTTTCTCTGCACCCCGTAACACTGCTGGCGTCGATGCCTCGGGTTGTGCTGCACTTTAAGAAAGCGAATAGGCGTCGAGTATCGGTGTATTTTCTATGATTTCCGCGTGCTCTGCCGAAGTTTACGTGCGGAGCACGAGGCGTGCTGTGCCCACATGGGGTTATCGTCAAAAAGGGAACTACCCGATGCCGATGATTCTGACGAAGATGACAGCGTCTCAGGCACTAAGCTGTGTGTGCCAACATATGCGGAAATGTCATGTTTAATGGCATTCGGTGATTTGCATACGCCCAAAATGGCATTGCTGACTTGCTTCTAAAGGTTGTGGCCCACGAAAGGAAACGACTGATCAACTTTCTGAAAGGAAGGTGAAATGAAAATACAATTTTATCAGTGCTTTTGCTGCACCAGCTTTTATTTTATTTACATTCTTTTAATAGTTTTCTTTCCTTTTGACCCAGCAGGCTATTAGCTTAGAAGTAATTAAAGAAGTTACACATACTTTTCTCATGCAGGGTTATGCCCCAAAGTTGTAAATATTGTTGTTTTGGATTATACGACTCGTGGATCATGCAACTCTCTTTTACGGTCCCCTGAAAGTCGTATAATTCGAATTTAGGCATTAAATTCCATAATTTAGGCATTAAATTCCACATCATGAACATGCGAACCGGAAATAGGATTTTAGTGCTCATGGCCCGTGGCAGGTGACGCAAGAAACAAATGAAAAATGGTGATGTATGGGGATTTTGGGGTTTTGTCAAGCGTTAAAGAAGTGTGAGCATCACCGTTTTCATTTGAGGGCAATAAGAAAACAGATTTCTGTAGAAATAGATTTTAATGCAGGTTTGATTTAGTTCCAGCAGAGACCTGCGAGGACTAGGTGGCACTACGGAAAGCATTTTTGGATAAGCCCAGATTCTGTCCAGCATTACTGATATTCTGTGTCAAATTATTTGAAAACTTGAATGTTAGGAATGCAAAAGTCAGATTAAATTATTGTGTGAATCACTATTTGATTTGAATTTGAAACATTCACACACACACCTAATAAATACACAACAGGGATGGCACAATCTTTCCTCATTTTCAGAACGTCCTAATCTTACTTGTTTAGCAGGTGTGTCATTCCACACCAAACCACACAACAAATTTTCTCAACCTTTTCACATCCTTACGGAGGAATACAGAGTGGTGGTCACTTGGCCTGTGAGCATTATATACAGGGTGTTTTTTTTGTGTTTTTTGTTAGCTGCACTAAATTTCCCCCTTAAAAAAGGAACTTACATTGGGGTTCTTTTAGTCTCTGAGTTAAGTTGGGGACCCTTAAGTCCCCAACTTAACCCAACTCATAAGTCATGAGTTGGTTGACTAATTACTTAATAGGCTTCAACTAATTTTAAATTATAGTCTAACCGCAATGTGAAATTTTTATTGAAAAATTTGCCTTCGGTGCTACAGTGAGAGTAACAAAATTTTTGTACAAAGTGCGAAGTCGAACCTGACTTTCCACAGATGCATCTGTGACATCGACCCCCCCCCCCCCCCCCCCCCCGCTCTGTGCCGCGGCTCTGTTACCCACGTGTGTGCTGTGGGCAACATGAGCAATGCGAGGCAAGCGCAGAGCGGTAGGATCAGAGTCACAGATGCTCCTCGGCGTCGAGGACAAATGTTTCAATAAAACTTTTACATCACGGCTACACTATAATGAGGTTTAGCATCAAACCTCCAGTTGCATTATCCCTGGAAAAGCTTCAATTAAAATGTTAGTGAAAGCATTTTAGTTCATTAGCCATCTAATTAACCAATATCCAATAACCCCGGGAGCTAAAAGAGCCCTAACATAAGTTCCCTTTTATTTGAAAATTTGGTGCAGCTAAAGCAAAACACTGTATTTTGCCCGAAGATTCATTTGTTTTGCAGTGGGCATTTTTTTAATTTTTAGGAAAATCTTTACTATTGGGCATTGCAACATTGCTGCAACAATGTCAATATGCAAGAAAAAAACTAATTATGATGGCAGTAAAGTACTTCCAGCATATTGCCTGTCAAGTACTTTAATTGTGATATTTATGTATGGCAGTATATTTTTTAATATGTTTAGGCTTAACAAAGTTAACACACATTGCACCATATTTCTTTATATAGTTCACTAAAATTAAAAAATGGGTCTCAACATTGTTTTTACAGAAAATAACATATATGTAAAAGAGTGAGAAAATATTACACCTGATCTGTGAATATTAAAGTCTATAGGTGGTATTCACTGAGTCTGGAGGTTCAATTTTGCCAGGGAGCGCCACCGTCAATCCGCCATCTTCGAGGTCGCGGTTTGACTGACTTGGGTACGCGGTCGACCGTTGGTAGTGTGTGCTAATTTTATACAGTTGAAGAAGCTTCGTTGAACAAAAGAGAGAAAAAGGTTTATCTCGAGGCGCGGGCCGTTTTAGTTTTCTTATTGCCGCCGAGTACCGTGTGTAAAGGCTGAATCAGATGTAAACAATTTAGCGAGCAACGGCGACCGCAACGAGACAAGCGACGACGACCCGCTTCACTGTCGCTCGGTCACTCGCGAGACGAGGCAAGCCGCATGAAATTGACGGGAGCAAGCGACCAAGGCAATTAGCGACGTTTTCTAGAAATCCAAAAACCGAGCGACGCGACGACCAACCGTGAGAAATCTGTCGCTCGTCGCCCAGTCCAGTCGCTGTCGCTTGCTAAATCGCTTACATGCGGTTCACCCTTCACTGTCGCTCGTCGCGTAGCTCGGTTTCGGGATTTCTAGAAAACTTAGCGCTCATCGCCTTGGTCGTGTGCTCCCGTCACTTTCATGCGGTTTGCCTTGTCGTGCGAGTGACCGAACGGCAGCAAAGCGGGTCGCCGTCGCTTATCTCGCCGCTCGCCAAATCGCTTACATGCAATTTTTAAATCGCTTGGGCAAATGAAAAATGCGCTGCATTTTTCATAAGCTGAGCACTCTATGAGCCGCACTCTATGTTTCTGCACAGGGTCGAACACCGAAGGCACGACGTATTTAAGACACAGAGGCGATGGAGCCACACGGTTACACGGCCGTAGTGCAGAAAATCCGCTAGAGAAAAAAACAATAAAGAAACTAGCGAAACAAAGTGCAATCACACCTTGGTACAAAAGCACCAGTGTAGAAAAATCAGTTCTTGCAAGAGCTACCGCCGTGGGCACGGCGCTAAAGCACTCTAAACGGCACGCGACACGGATTGCTGCATGGAGCCGAGGGAGCAATGCGGCCACGGTGAACGAGTCTGATAGCGACAAAAACAAACTAAAACACACAAAAAATATTCCTACAGCGCTTCAAAAGCACCAAAGTATAAGAATAACCCCTAGTTTCGGTCAAAAAGACCCTTTAAAGTTGTAAAATGCTGCTAAACCACTCTCAAGAGGTTCGGCCAGACGACACTCGCAATAGAACGAGACCTCGAAGATGGCGACCGTGGTGGGCGATGCCAGCAAACGTAGCGAGTGATGTCAAGTGAATGTCACCTAAAGTGAAATATGTACAAGATGGCCCTTTTCACAAATTGGCAATGTTTGGTGCAATAAAAGCAAATGTTATCCCTTACTCTCAAACGAGGCATACATGTCAAAATACAGCTCCACTCAGCTAAAAGAAATTGTAAAAAAAAAATTCCATAAAAAATGCTTGGCTTTTTGTTAGAAACATTTTATTCACACTGTCAACACTGCTGTTTAGTGCAGTTGGAAAGTGAAGGTGCTGAACAGGAGCCACATCAGGTGGTGAAGAAGAACAAAATATTTTTATGAATCTCAAAAATGTTTTTCAAATTTTTTCTATTTTTATTTATTTTATTGTAGTAGTGGAGCTGTATTTGGTTATGCATATAGTTCCCCAGACTGGGGAATAACGCTTGTTTTTATCACACAAAGCATTGCCAATTGGTGAGAAGGGCCATTTTTCATGTGTTTTTAATATTAGAATAACCACTGCTCATGTGTAATATTTGACTACTCGTTTATGGCAAGGTTATTGTCTGCAAAAAACGTTTTGAGGCCCATTTCTATGAATTAATTTAACTATATAAACAAATATGGTGTGATGTATGTTAACTTTCTTAAGCCTAAATGCATTAAAAAATATATTATGTAAATGCAATAGTTAAAGTATTTGACAAGCAGCGTGTTGAAAGCCCTCTACTGCTATCAATTATTCTTTTACACTGACTCGTCTACAGAAGGGCTGCGATGTCTTATAGTAAAGAGAAAGAGACTTGTCGAATCGTGGCAGTAAAACAAAAATTATTTAGGCAAAATATTCTAGGCAATTACTTACGGAACAAGTAGCCATGACTGAATTTTTTTCATAAGGATCTGTGGAGGCCGATCCCCCTCGTCGTGCAGTTTGGCGTGGAATGACCCAGGTAGAAAAACGGTTGCAGTCATTAAAGAAAATACTTCAATCTTCTTGGAATCTTGATGAAGAGCTCAGGTGCAAATATTTTGTGTTTCAATATTTTGAATGGGGTGGATTTAGATTGTAAGACTAGCTTTTGCTGCATGGATGTGCCAAGCTGCATTCTGAACAGAAATGAAAATGCCTCTGCCTTTCTTTTTATCTCTTAAATACTTCAAACTTGGTTCTAAATGCTACGCTTTGAGCAGTTTAACTTCCTTATAAGTTTAGCCTTGGTCACCATTTAGTTTATTTAGATTGTAAACTGTGATGATTCACTGGTTTGGTGCATCTGTCATCGCTGGCAGCGATTTATACAGACCCCCCAGCCTCACCTAGCACACCCCGGAGCCCCTCACAAAAAGTAGCAAGACCCCCAGGCTTACAATCCTAGATATACCCCTGAGCCCTGGAGCATTTGGAGATTGCCTTTTATTGAGAGGCAGCTTTCAAGTCTGATATCTGTGAAATATTTTTACATTCATTGCCTACGGCAGTGGTTCTCAAACTTTTGGTATAGAGCCTATCGAATTGAGAAGGTACAACCACGATTGGGTAGAACGGGATGAGAGGCTGCCTGGCTGCTGTGATCGGATGGAACTTGATTTGATGGGCTGCAGTCGATTCTATGTAGACCCAGCATATAACACGAAAGCACACCAAGAAAAAGGTGCACCAATCAAAGTCAAAAAAACTTTTCATATATGTAGCTGGCCAGATTATGATTGAAGTGTTTGATATGAAGTGGTTCTTGCAGTTCACGATCGAGGCAAATGGTGGTGTTGCACGCCGTACACCAAAGAATGTCAAAAGTCGTCAGTCCAGTTTAATCGACATGCAGCAAGGCAGGCGAGTGTGTGCTGAAGAGGACCTCTCGTTTTGTACAGTACTGTTTTTCCCTGTGCAATGGACTCAGCAGGCCTTGAAAACAGTTCTGCTCGCCTTTTCGATATTTGATGCTCATTGATGGTGCATCTTTAGAGCGGTCCTTATGTCAGGGCGGAACCTCCTAAATGCTCCGGGGACCCCTGGGCGTCCCCAGACCACAGTTTGAGAACTGCTGGCCGACAAGCTTTATATTTTCTCAAAAGTTATGAAGCTGTGGGCCATCAATTTTAACTTTAATTCATTAACTGCCATGTGAATTATAGAAACATTTGAATATTGCTGAGATTTTGGGTGCTGATAATTTTTTTTTTTTACATCGGGTTTCAGGCACCATGGTTCTCGACGCATCCAGCTGTCATCTGGGATGGGGACCTGGACAATCTGGGACCATGCATGGTACAGATTGAAGACCAGCTCCTGAAGGCCGATCACCCAGTGCATGCGATTCTAGTCGCATTCTGCCTGCACTGGGTGGTCGACATATGCTACCAACCAGCAGCAAAAGGATTCTATACCCTTGTTGAACACCTGCTGGGGTTGAACGTCACAAAGGCGACCGGAATGGTCCTGACGACCCTGTCGGCCGTAAAAAAATAAAATGGCTTTGCCTGAGTATAGGCAGCTTGACCTAACATTGTTTGTTTATTTAGTGAGAATATCGCAGGCATTATTTAAACATGTGACACCTCTTCCATGTCACCCCTTTTGAGTGTCAACCTCCTCTTGAGAGTGGGAAATCGCCTACTTCCCCAGAGAAAGTATCTTTTTCCGTCGGCTGAAATGGGAGAAATGTTCTCCAGTTGAGGGAGCAGTTTTTCTCCAGGATCGGAATGGGTGGGAAATTTTCTCCTGTGGGTAGGGCAATTATTTCTCCAGTGGTTAAAATGGCTGGTAAATTTCCTCCGCTGAAAGGGTTGCAAATATTTCTCCAGTGGTCAAAACATGTAAATTTTCTCCACTGAAGGGGGAGCAAATATTTCTCCAGCCACAAAAAATTGGTGGCAAATTTTTTCCCTTTCTGGGGGACAAAGTATCCTCCATTGGTCAAAATGGGTGGCAAATTTCCTACCCTTGTGCGGGACAAAAATTCCTCCCTTTGCGCAAATGGGCAGCAAATTTCCTCCCCTTCTGGGGGACAAAGTATTCTCCATTTGTCAAAATGGGTGGCGAATTTCCCACGTTTGCGGGGGACAAAATTTCCTCCCCCTACAAAAATGGGTGGCAAATTTCCTACCTTTGTGGGGGACAAAATTTCCTCCCTCTGCAAAAATGGGTAGCGAATTTCCTACCTTTGCGGGGGACGAAATTTCCTCCCTCTGCGAAAATGGGTGGCAAATTTCCTACCCTTGCGGGGGACAAAATTTCCTCCCTCTGCAAAAATGGGTGGCAAATTTCCTACCCTTGCGGGGGACAAAATTTCCTCCCTTTGCAAAAATAGGTGGCAAATTTCCTACCTTTGCGGGGGACAAAATTTCCTCCCTCTGCAAAAATGGGTAGCGAATTTCGTCCCCTTCTGGGGGACAAAGTTTTCCTCCATTTGCAAAAAGAAGTGGCAAATTTCCTCCTTCCTGAGGGGAGTGAATTTCCTCCTTTTCTCTGGGAGCAAACTTTCCTCCATTTGTAGAGCAATATATGATACATCCCGTTTCGTCCTTTTAGGGAGGAAGTACTACTCCTTTTTTTTTTAGAGTGTAGGATCGTATTAAAATGCTATAAGGGATTCTCGTGAATAAATGGCGAATGCATTAGTAATTGGCGCGCTGAAAAGCGTATTGCCATGAATAAAGCAAATACCTGCTTGAATGCTGGAACTATTGTTTTTACGTACGAATAATTTAAAGGTCATTATAATTTCGTAGGAATTAATTGACCGGCGTTATGTCTGAATTCATCACTTTTTCACCATGCTGCTCTACTCCCTTGCGACAGTCTTACCAAAAAATAAGTCATTTCCGCTCGGATAATAAATGCTTCAAGTTTTTTTTGTTTTTTTTTGCTCGAACAGTAACCGACTGGAATAAAGATGATCAACCTCTCGTCACGTAGCCAGTAATTTCATTATTTAAATTCCTCTTAAAAAGTTTAATGTTATAAATGTCTGTTTATTTGCTTTCCCAGACATAATTGTTCCCATTTTTTGCCCGCCTTAGATAATTCACCCATGTATCTACATCTAAATTTATTTGCAAGCATTACTGTAATAACAGGTAAATAAAATTAATAAATGAATAAATAATTGGCAGCATGTATTATTTCATGCGCGTCAGCCTTGGCCATACTCATTCGGAGTCCAAACAAAACGCAGGAAGTGCACCGGAAAGGGACAAAAACACTCCTTTTATGCCCAGCACCGGCTACTTTTCTATGGGTATTTCTAGATAATAAAAAACGAACGGGGCTTTTGGCACATATAACACTTAAAAAAAGAAATGCTGGAGCCAAAAACAATTTCCATCAGACAGCTGAGTACTTTGAGACTGTCACTGGTCGTTAACTGTGATTCTGAGAATTAAATACAAACACGTAGATATCAGAGTTCCAAATTATTCACTTTCAAAGATGTCAAACCACAAGTCAATCAACATAAACCGACATGGTAGCATAATGTTGACAAGCAAATAAGCTGTCGAGAACGATATAATTAATGTTCAAGCCAAAGCGTGACTCGGATGGCAGCGGCAAAATTTAGGAAAAGAAAGCTGAGACATGACACTGTTCTGTTTTCACGGCCTAGCATTTTCCGCTAAGACGTCGGTCATAGCATTGTAAACAATGTTACGAGGGGGATTTTACCAGCTATTAAATGTTTATTGTCATGCACTTGCAAGTTGACCGGACAGCTGTTGCTGTGCCTGTGTTAATCGGGATGGTATTCAAATCGTTACACAAACAGTTTTGTTTATAATTAAAGAAATTACCCGCGGAAGCGCGACTCGTGACGGGGCCTCCGTTTTTAGGGAATGGCAATGACCAGCGTATCTGATATCATTCTTAAAACAGGTACAGCGCACGCGCTCTTGGGCACTCAAAAGGTGAATCCTAGGGAGCCTTCATGTGCGTTTTGCTAGGGTGATGCCACCTTTTGGGATACCGCTCGCCGACAAACTAGCAGTCATCTTGGTTCTTGGAGATAATCCGTGGGGCTTTTAAGTTATAACCCTCCAGAAAACAAGCACCTTATCTCACAAAGAAAACACGCTTGATGTGCAGGCGAGCTTTAGTAAGTTATAGATGATGATTGAAACCTTAGGAAAAGGGACAGACAACGTCTTTTTAAGACGCTGTCTGTCCCTTTTTTTTCCTCCTTCACGAGTTTCCGTTCTTCAAACCACAATTTCGGGTTTCAATCATCATGTCTATTTCACAAGTTCGGAGCAGCCTTGTGGAACCCACGGAGGGATTAGGGTTTGCCACCTCGGATGGCAGGACCGATGGACACAAAGGCCACTTTCAGGCGCACGGGAAAACATTGAAAGGCACATAATGGCGCTGGGAAAAGGAAACAGGCAGGTGACATCACCCTTTGCGAAGCGCACATGAAGGAACTCTAGTGAATCGTAATGGACATATCGCAAACGAAGGAAATTATTATTAAAAAAAAAGAAACATCCACACGGTCCGGATGACTGAATGGTTCAAAACCGGAAGAAAATACCGCTAGACAAAACAAACACACACACACACACACATCTATGTGTGTTTGTGTGTGTGTGTGTGTGTCTGCGGTGTCATTCGAATTCAGGTATCGAGGTTAAGTTATATATATATATATATATATATATATATATATATATATAGGGAATCGTAATGGACTGATGAAGAGCGGTCCCCGCTCGAAACGTCGTCATAAACTTCGAATTAGTAACTCCGACAGTACGCATCTTTGACTTGTTAACTTTTCCCGGTACTTTGTTTTTATAGTTACCATACTTCACCCATATATATATATATATATATACATATATATATATATATATATATATATATATATATATAGGGAATCGTAATGGACTGATGAAGAGCGGTCCCCGCTCGAAACGTCGTCATAAACTTCGAATTAGTAACTCCGACAGTACGCATCTTTGACTTGTTAACTTTTCCCGGTACTTTGTTTTTATAGTTACCTTACTTCACCCATATATATATATATATATATATATATATATATATATTAGTGTGTCGAACCGAAAAAAATACGGGTTCGGTTACGGTTCAGGTTCAGGTAAATTTATTTTGTTCCCGTTCAGTTCCGGTTCGATTAATTCGATCCGCGAACCGGTTCGCGAACCGGTTCGGGGCGGTGAACCGGTTCGCGAACCGGTTCGGAAATTATAAATGACAAATTGCAACATTAAAATAAATTACAAATAAAACATCTGGAATCAGCACATACGAAACGGGATACATCGTAGTGTAAGGCTCAGGGATTTCTACCAGGAATGGTTTCTTTATGTGCACTCAAAGGTTACCTCACCGACGTTTACGCATTCGGACTTCATCTAATTGGGTCCGACGCAGTAGCTGTAAACTCCGCGACCTCCTTACAAACCCACTTACAAGTAGAACTCGCTAACTATCCCGCCACCTCGGCGTGTAAGCAATTGAAGGAACAGTGGGGAGAAAATACAGCTTTCTTTATTTGAACTAGCCTTCGGTAACTCAAATTAGACCCTTAAAGAAGTTTTCATTAAACAAGATACGGAATATGAAAAACACTTCACCGAACGCAACGCCAGAAGGACGTAATAGGAAAAATATTAAAATAGAAGAGTTCGCTGTCTCACAAATATGTTAGCTTCTAAGTGCCTATACGAAACCGGATGCATTATTATCAAACTCCAGAGCCTTTTCTTTTCTCATTCCGATGGAAGCAAGCTTCAAAAACTCGCTCGTTCTAGAAACGTGTTATGAAATGAGCACACAGCAGCATTTAGGATTTACGAGATTGTAGGAAAATGAAATCCCGTGACGCGACTTTTTTTTTTTTTGCACAGCCTTCCAATTCTCTTTCTTCCGTGCAAGCCGCGACCAGCGCAATACTGGTTCCTATGTCAAGATTCATGGATGCATCGTTTGTCAAGATTCATGGATGCAGCGTTTATATTCCTAAGACTGAGTGGAGAAGAAAAATATGTAAGCGAGGTGTGTGTCAGTTGACGGCAATTAAAAAACAAATGGCATTGATAGCACATTCATTGTCAACAGCGCGTGGCCGAACCGTTTTGACATGAGCCGGTAACCGTTATTTTTTTTCCGGTTCAGTTCCGGTTCGGGTTCATCGCGATAACAATAACGGTTCGGGTTCGGGTTCAGTTCCGGAAAAAATACCGGTTCGGTTCCGGTTCGACACACTGATATATATATATCATCATCATCATCATCATCATTTATTATTCCTTGAAGGCCCAGGGGGCATTACACAAGGGAGTGAGCACTTAAAAAACAAACAAGTAACAAAACAATTTATCTACAAAAACAGGCTGTAATCTAGTTATGGGTTAGAAAAAATACGCTAATGGCTGCAGAAAATTTCTTAGTATCAGATAAGGTAACAATTACGTCAGGCAGTGAGTTCCAGTCGTCAATGGCCAATGGTAGAGTAGACATTTGGTGAGTGACGGTTGACGATGAAATCGGACGGAGTTTACAAGAATGGTCGAGACGAGGGAAAATGCGGTAAGGAGGTGATACCAAACTTTGTCTGAGATGACTGTTGTAATAAAAGATCCGATGAAGAAGAGAAAGACGAGACACCCTGCGGCGGTGAGAAAGAGTGTCAAGGTTAGCTGATTGGCGAAGTCCTGATATGCTTGCGTATGGGGAATAGTCGGAATAAATAAAACGGAGGGCCCTGCTTTGAACGGATTCCAGGTTGTTAGTTAGGTATGCCTGCCACGGTGACCATATGGAAAAAGCGAATTCTAGTTTAGTTCTGACCAAGGTAGTATAAGCTAGTTGTTTTACGGGGGATGTAGCTTGTCTGAGGTTACGGCGAAGAAATCCGAGAGTGCGGTTAGCATCGGCGATGACAGTTGTTATATGAGTGGTCCATGGCAGGTCAGATGTCAGATGAATTCCTAGATATTTATACGATTAACAAGCAGTTACTGGGATGCCAGAAAAGTGGTAAGAGGAGGATAGAACATGTGAATTGCGGGAAAAAGATAGCGATTTACATTTATTATAGTTTAAAGCCATTTGCCATTTATGACACCACTGAATTATAAGTTGGAGATCGTTTTGCAAGGTTAGCTGATCGTGGCATGAATGAATGGGTCTATATATGACACAGTCATCGGCGAACAAACGTACTTCAGAAGTGATGCAATGATGGAGATCTTTAATGTAGATTAAAAAAAGAAGGGGGCCAAGAACGCTTCCCTGAGGGACGCCAGACGTTACTGCGCTTGTGGTAGATTTTATATTGTTAATAGAAGTGTACTGTGTGCGATTAGTAAGGAATTCAGAAATCCAATTGACTACTGAGGGGTGAAGATTAATATTTCTTAGTTTCATTAAAAGACGTTGATGAGGGACCCTGTCAAATGCTTTGGAGAAGTCAATAAAGATGGCGTCAGTTTGAACATTGGAATCGAAATTTGAGTAAACGTCAGTTAGAAATGCTGTTAGCTGAGTTTCGCATGAGTAGGACTTGCGAAATCCGTGCTGGTGCTTAAAAAGGAGGTTATGAGAGTCTAGGAAATTTATTATGTTAGAATAGAGAATGTGCTCCAAGAGTTTGCATGAAACGCTGGTGAGCGAGATGGGACGATAGTTGCTGATTAGTTGGCGATCGCCTGTTTTATGAACGGGTATGACGTTAGCAACTTTCCAGTCTGATGGTACTTCAGAGAGATTAAGAGATTGAGAGAATATGTTGCAGAGGAAAGTGGAAGAAATGTGTTTAGTGTTTATTAATACCTTAGAGTTAATTTGGTTATCTCCGGAGCTGGAGGACACCTTTAGTTGATCTATAGCCTTAAGTACTCCAGTACGGTCAATTACGATAGGATCCATGAGGGGGTGAATGGATTGGCACGAGTCGGGAATATTTAGTAAGTCCTCGTTAGTAAAGATGGAGCAGAAGAAATTGTTAATAGCAAGAGCGCCGTGTTTATCAGAAAGTGGAAGTCCGTCGTCATCTACAAACTGCAAAGGAAGTGAAAGTGCTGGATTGATTATTTTCCAAAACTTCTTTGGTTTCGTGGTTAGTATGTTGGGGAGGTCGATACTATAGAATTTGGTTTTGGCGTGATTTATTGCTGATTTATAAGCCCTAGCGCATTCGTAGTAGGCGTTCCAAGAAGCCGTAGTGTTGACAGCCTTAGTCCGCTTATAGAGTCTTTTTTTCCTATTCGATTGACTATGAATATTTTTATTGTACCAAGGGTTAGTGTTGTCAGATATAATACGGGTCAGCGGAATAAAGCGTTCGATTAGATAGATCATTTTATCTTTGAATAGAGTCCAGTTTTCATTAACCGTTCTTTCCCAGAAGTTAAATGAGAAAGTATGATAAAAATCTTCGAGGTTCGAGTTGATTGATGCGTAATCAGCTTTCGCGTAATTGCGAATGAATTTGCAGTAATGTGATCTACGAGGAGCAGAGAGAGAGAGAGTTAAATCGATGACGAGATGGTCACTAATGCCGGGTAAGTATGTGATGTTACTGAAGAGTGAGGGGTCTTGGCTTAAGCACAAGTCGAGTATATTGCTACAGTGATTAGTAATCCTAGTAGGCTGAGTGATAACATTTGTAAAGTTGAAATCTAAACAAAAGTCTATAAATTCTTGAGACAATGCGCAACTAGAAGAGAGGGCAGACCAGTCAACGTTCGGGTAATTGAAATCACCAAAGAGAGTAACAAAGGCGTTAGGGTATTTAGTGGTGATTTCAGAAATACACTTATATAGCTTGTTAACAAATTCTTTATCACTATCTGGCGGTCTATAGCACACAGCCACTATTACGGGGGGCGTTGTAGCGACGTACACAAATACAACTTCTAAGTCAGTAAGAATTGGTATAACCCGGGACGGAATGTGATTATTTATAGCTAAAAGCACACCACCCCCCCTCCTAGCGGATCTATCACACCTATACACACGAAAGTTTGGACACAAAGGAAAAAGTTCAGTATCGGATATATCGGGGCTTAGCCACGTCTCGGTAAGCACAAGGAAATCTGCGTTGCATGCCTCAACCAAGGAAATCACATCATCTCTTTTTGGTATCAAGCTTCTAATATTAGTAAATAAAATATAATGATAAGAAGGTTTGTTACAGATATCACGGCGTTTTGCAGGTTGATTGGGTGACGAAAAACGAAATGAACGCTGGCATTCCTATGCACTTTTTTCCTTCACGGCACCAAGAGCGGCGTCATATACATAACACTTATTATCTAAAAACAGCTTATCGTGACGCAGCTTGTAAGTCGTGCCTTTAGGCTTGGCAAAATCAAGAAGGTGACGGCGCGCAAGTCGGACAGAAATGGGAAAATCTTCACTGATGGCTGCACGTGTTCCCTTGGGCTTAAATGCCGACGAAAGAATGCCCTCTTTATGCTTAAATGATGAAAACTTCACAATTATAGGGCGACATTTCTGTGGATTGAACGCTCCCAAGCGGTGCGCTCTTTCAATTTTGCTTGATTCGATATTCACGCCTAGGTTACTGGAACACAGGCCGGTTACCAAGCCCTCGGACTGGGCCCACGTTTCCCTATCGGTGTCAGTGACGCCAAAAAATAGAAGGTTGTTACGACGGGATCTGCCCTCCGCGTCGTCACAACGAGTTTTCAGCTGCGAAAGTTCGTTTAGAGCTGTAGTAAGCTGAGGTTCGGTAGGTGTGACGTTACCGATTTCCTTCTGCTTTAGTAAGTCGAGTTCAGTTGTTAGGTTGATAACGCGTTCTTCTAGAGCGGAAGCATATTTTTCGCTTTCTATGTTTTTCTGTGTTAGTAGGTTTACCTCTTGTTGCAGAAGAGCAAGGCTACTCTGAAGTTTCGCGACCGTCTGCACAAGCGCAAGGAATTCATCCTCTTGTTGCTTGCTCATAGGGCCTGCGTTCTTCTCTACATCCCCAGACAACAAAAGCAACAAAGCTCTGAAAGATTCAATACACGCTCTAAAAGATTCAATAAAAGCTCCGGGGCATGGAAGCACAACTAGGCAAACATAATTTGACCTAAAACAGTGGCAAGGTTTACGACTACTAACCTGCGGCAAGACGAAAAACATAAGCCACCTCATCGCTGCAAAGCTTCCATGCCCACTGGCGCGCTGTAGCCGGGGGGGTCCCTTTGTAGGCGCTTCCGTTGATGTCGCTGTTGATGGCATAGCACGAGCGAGGTCCTCTGTGATCTTGATCCCAGCGGGCAACACTGTGGTCGACGAGCGCGTGGCGGATGGTAGCTCGCGGTCCGTAAACCGGAGCAAAGCTGCGCCGTCATCGTGTCGCCGGCTGGAAGGGGACGCACGCGCTGACACGGACAGGAGCTGCGGCAAGACGAAAAACATAAGCCACCTCATCGCTGCAAAGCTTCCATGCCCACTGGCGCGCTGTAGCCGGGGGGGTCCCTTTGTAGGCGCTTCCGTTGATGTCGCTGTTGATGGCATAGCACGAGCGAGGTCCTCTGTGATCTTGATCCCAGCGGGCAACACTGTGGTCGACGAGCGCGTGGCGGATGGTAGCTCGCGGTCCGTAAACCGGAGCAAAGCTGCGCGGTCATCGTGTCGCCGGCTGGAAGGGGACGCACGCGCTGACACGGACAGGAGCTGCGGCAAGACGAAAAACATAAGCCACCTCATCGCTGCAAAGCTTCCATGCCCACAATATACATTGTGAACGAAGAGGGGAGAAGGTGATTATTTAATTTATTGCATTAAAGTTGGGGAAAGGGAAAGAGAGCTGGCGAAAAATTGGGCCAGGAGCGGGGATTGGACCCGCAACCTTCGCGGACACGTACGCACAAGCACACACATCTATATGTGTGTGTGTGTTTGTGCGTGGGTGTCCGCGGTGTCATTTGAATTCTGGTATCGAGGTTAAGTCGTATTTTTTATTTTGATTAAAACGTTTATACTTCGTGGTGTATGTTGCAAGGAAAACAATGTTTTTTTTTAATTTATTTTAATGTGCTCACATGTAAAATTTCTTAGAAAACAATCGCAAAGAAGCGGGATAGCGCGATGCGGTTTTGACGAGTGTCCCCCTTACATGGCGTCTTTGAATCACGCTCAATCTCGAACTCTTAGAGAGGGGGAGAAAGATAGAGTTAGCTTATATATTTTTATTGCGTTTTATATGCAAGTGCGTAAAACAACATCCTCAGTCGTTTCAATCATTCGTCACTCAGCCTTTGTAAAAATCCCCACACATGCCTCCGCGAAAAACTGAGACCAACTAATTTTTTTTTCTGAGTCGATAATATTCAGTGTCGCTTCTAAATATTAACCCGTGTCGAACCATTTGTTTCCTTCCATAATATGCAAATTTTGTTCCTTGGTCACGTACGTTTCTTAAAAATAAATTATAAAACAGGAAGTGTTTACTTTTTGTTCAATTTCAGCACGCTCTATATAAAGAAGCATTTCTAACTTTTTTGTACTTTTCTCGCGTCACGTTTTCTTTACCTTACAGCATAAATTTAGTTCTAGGTATTTTCATAGTTTGCAGTTCTACACTTCTAAGTATGGTAAAAGCAGCAAATACCAATGACGTGAGCCCGTGGGTTGAAGAGGCCTCGAGGCTAAAAGGTCTCGCTGCATAGTTGCGCCCCGCGATTCATCAAAGCTTCGGAAATTGTTACAAAGAATTTGTGAGTTTAAAAGTTGGTGGTGTAATAGCCACGTACCCGTTCTTATGCGACGCGCCTTGGAAAAATATGTGTTTTGTTAAAGGGTTGCTCTATGCTATTCGCGCACCTAGATAAGCGAGCCGCTCCAAGTGTTCTAAATTAAAACCCCATCGTTGAGGGTCTTGTGCTAGCTCGCGCTTCAGCACCAAATCTTCGATCGCGTGGTGGACAGCGCATAAAGCTGAAGTTTGAGGACCTAAAAGCATGTGCCTGGGGTCGCGAATGGTCTGGAGTTCATATTTGTGAACAGGTAAATGCCCATGGTGCCACAGTGCGTGCCCTTCGCGACACACTTAACGTACCACGAAACGTACACATCGCGACACTGTTAGCGCGAACACGACATCGGCGCATTTTGGCATTGTACTTGTAAATAGTAATAGCGAAACCGAAATTTTATAGCTTACATTATAGAACTAAATGAGCTCTTTCCGTAGCAATAACAACTTGGATGACATCCCATGGTTTCAAAGAGAAAAACTGGAAAAACCGGCGATCGCTTGTTCGCGCTAATAGTGTCGCGCTCTTTACCTTAGGGTTCCCAAAACGGAGGCGTGCACACGTCGACTCCTGTCAAAGGGTGTCCACACCGACCACGTCCAGCGGATTTGCTCCCCACATCCCGTCAGAAACGCGGGCCTGATACGCCGTATTTTGACCGTTTCCACCCTCGTTCCGTGTTTTTACGCAAAGAGAATGCTCAGTATTTGCTTACGTCTTTGGGGCTGCGCTTATGACGCAAAAACAAGACGCAGGTAATTACATTTACTCTATATTCGGCCCGCTCTTTTTGACGGACGCGGGGAGCGGATCCGCTCGACGTGACTGGTGTGGACAGCCCATCATAGAGTTCACACAAATGAATCATGTCATTAAGAGGTAAAGAAGGGCGTACTGCGATGTACATAAGAAAATATTAGAATTTAGGGTCGATTAAACTGTCACATCTATCGCTCTGACTATACTCTGAATTCACACAGCATTGGAACGTCGCGTTTCCTCCGTTTTCCCAGCGCACAGACGCGAACACAGGTGCCGGGAGTTAGAAAGCTGTCCTCTCTTACAGGAAGACTATCCGGAAAGCAAAAATGAATTACGCATTTTGGTTTGCTGTAAGTGCAAGTCGCTGTATCTATCCAAATAGTGCAATCACTCTGCTGGTAGCAAGGCAGGGCTGCAACACCCAGAAGTCAGTGGCCAGTGTGGACGGGCGAAAATGATTGCGAAATTTTCTATTCAATACAATTGTCTAGTAAAAGTTGCCTCCCTATTTCTATCTAGTGATCAAACTGTCATATGAAGAATAGCGGTCTAGGAGAAACGGCGGGATTTGACTTCGGGACGGTCAAGCCTTTTGCTTATGGTTGTCAGCACACGATTTCGGTGTCTGCTCTATTTCTTATCGTCAGAGGCCACCTGCTGCTAAGTCAAACTGCGGAGGCTTTGACATAAGTGATGATTTAACCACTAGTGATGTTCTGTATTATACAATTAATTTACAACAGATGTTCATTTTCGTCTTCCATTGATATCTTGCATTAAAGTCTTCACTTTTAGACATGCAAAAGCTTAATTGTCAGCAGGAACATCAATAAGAACAGTAGAATTCTTAGTTCTGTGGCCTCGAATTGGGAAGCTGTTTTTAATTGCTCATAGGAGCATGCCATGATGAAAATCGTGCAACATAAAAACGGATACAAATGCCGAATCCCATTTATTTTGCCGCGAACTTATCGCTGTATGCCAAAATAATTTAAAATCTCTAGTTTATCCGAGTTTACTAACAACTACCGCTTCATCCTTTCCTATGCAATGCCGCAGGGGTGATATAACTCGCCACCGATATCAGCATTCACTAAGCAATAGTTTGCCGCTGAAGAAAGAGGTGGCGGCGAAAATGAAACAGCCGCCGATACGTCCCGAGCGCACATTTATGATAGTAATATAGCTTTTCGATAGCGAGGTATCATGCCCCAATGTTGAGCTCATAAGTTTGAAACGTATCGATTTAGCTTGAGGGAACCTATTTTAACGCCTGTCTCGTGTGTGTTGCCTTCGCGAAACGGGCCATACACGCAATGACAATAAAATTTGCCTGTGCATGCACTGACATCTTTCCTTGCCGCGCTGCGAAACGTCATCTGAGTATGCGCGATAGGTCTCTTCACGCGAGATATTGTACACAGTGATTCTGTTTACAGCTCGGTGACTCGGCATTTTCCGGCTGGGAAATAGGTGCCGGAAAGGTCGATGTAGGGTGTTTCACTGAACAGCGGCGAATGTTTCGTGCAAAAACGAGGCATCGCAAATAAATAACATTGCGACCTTATAAATCACTGTCAAAGGGCCTATTCATTGAGGTATGCAATGTCTGAAAGGACTAGGTTAAGAATTAAACTTGCGTAAAGAAGTTCTGGAATAATGAAGAAAAGCGTACAGTTTTTACTAGAAATTTGCTGAGCATGGTTGGAAATAGAAAAATCGCTCAATTCTACTTAGACCTGGGACATGTGGGAAGCGTAATGGTCTGCTAAATTGACTGCTTCTGAAACAATCACAAGGCTGGCGGAGAGAAAAGGAGGACAATAAGAAAAGGGGAAACCGGCGGAGTTAGCTAGGAAAATTTTCGGGGCTCAGAAAAACGAAGCGCATGCTTCAAATCTTTCTAACGTCGAATGATTTAACGGTGTTCGATTATGTCCAGCAAGCGTCTAGCTGGAACGACACCTTACCATTTATTAATTAGAATATGATTAAAAAACTATTCCTAAGCCTAATTGATTAAAAAAGCGATGCACCTTAAGCAATTGGGCCTGTGTCAGTCATTGGTTTGGTAGCAATCGTATTTCTGAGCGATACCTAGTTTTTACACAACCTTTGACCAATGTTTGTTGAAGCATGCTCTACATAGCTTGACATAAACTGAGTGGCAGGCAGTAAATCGAGCCGGAAAAATTGGCGCTTGTGCGAAATAGCCCGAATGTTCATTAAAAATGTGTTTTCGATACTGCGGGTGAGCACGTTGGTATTAAAGTAACTCATTTTTGATGGTTGACACCGACGAAGTGGAGCGGCTAGAGGCAATCTACCACTCGATCGGACTGAAGTCGGCTGCGAAGTGATTCCTCACAAATATGCTCTAGCCAAGGACCCATTTTGCAGCAGGCAGAGGCTGAGTACGCTTTTGGTGAAAATTATAACTATTTTCGTGCAGGCGCCAATTTGTCAGGCTCAATTTACCCCTGTAATTTTGACACCATATCGGAGCATAAAAACGTCTTCCCCAATATTCACTACTTTATGATGAAGCATTGTCGACATACGACGGCATCAACGCAGCAAATTGGCTTGAGCCTTCCCCAGAAGCATTGATTGGACACGTCTCCGAACCGAAGCATACCGACGCTGATGTAGCACAGGTGTACAACTCTTTTTGCCCCTGCTAAGTTGTAGTTTCACGCGGCGTCAAGGTTCGACTGACTACCCTTGCCCTTTTGGTCCTGGGGATGTTGCCGAGTGTGTTGCATTGCTTGAAGCTTGAAAGCGTAAATCGAACCCATGAATGATGATCATGTAACGCCACGGATCATGTGCACTTGACTGTAGTACCAAAGTTGGTCCTCTATTGGTGCTCTTTCTAGCATGTGACAAAGTGGACGGGGCCTCATGGACAATACTCACGCGACCACCCTCGATAATGATCAGGGGATTCTAGGGATCAAAACCGCGTGACCATGTGACCACTATTAGCCCGCTATTTACAACATGTGACCAGGTGGACGCAACATCTCGGACGATGTTCACGTAACGAAATATAAATGATGGTCACATGACCCGA